ACATACGGGAATAAACACCAATACAAACCATATCACCTAGAAATCTTACATCGTCAAACAAAAAGCACCTAAAACAATAACCCCATTTGTAGAATACACTTCAAGATGTAAGATAACCCCATTTGCATGGCGTTAATATTGAAGATGGCATCTTAAACGATTGGGCAACTGAGGTTGGCTGTGTAGTGGGATATTTTCATACGATGTTGCTTGGTTTACCTTTAGGTGCAAAGAAAAAAATCAGAGGTACTTTGGGATCCGATCATCCAGAAGTTTAACAAGAAATTAGTTGGTTGGAAAGCCTCTTCATTGTCAATGGCAGGAAGATTGGTGTTGTTGAAGTCGGTGTTGTCCTCATTGCCGGTTTTTTTTCCTTTTTATTTTCAAAATTCCGTTCAAGGTAAATCAGAAGTTGAACTCTTTGAGGGCTAAATTTCTTTGGGGGGAAAAACCAGCAAAGAAACGTATTCACTGGGTGAATTGGAAAGTGGTGTGTCAACTCTATGAAGAGGGTGGATAGGGAGTCTTGGATTTGAATTTTGTTAATCGAGTGTTGCTTGGTAAATGGGTGTGGAAATTTGCAAATGAAAGACACTCAATGGAAAAAGATGCTTTGCAGCAAACATAATGTTAGTAATTTGTCTCAAAGGAAAGCTTCTCTCTAACCTAGGTGTTTTCAATTTTCAAATTTCAAATTACTTATTTCCACGAGCCTCAGCGTCTCTCCTCCGATATCCACCAGTCGTCCGCAGTTGTCGTCCGCCACTCGCCACCGCCGTCAGCCGTCCTTTTCCACACTTTGACCTTCGTTTTGACGCCGTTTTTTACTGGGTAATTCGCCGGCTCAAGGTGTTTCCTTTTCTGGGCTTGTTTTTCTGAGTAAGACTTTTATTTGACGCTGATCTATAAGCCGCTCACGGCCGTTTTCGCCTCCATCCGTTGCACGTACGCTGGACATCGCATCTCCACTGTATTCAGAGCCTTTTTGCGATCATAACCCATTTACTTAGTGTCGAGATTAGTTGCATCTCTCCATTATATTGCACTGAGCAGTTTCGACAAGATCAGGCGCTCGCTACTCTTTAATTTCTGCATGACTCTTTTGGTGGATTTCTTTCGTCACTACTGTTGAAACTTTGAGCTCTTGTTCTGGAACTTTATTTCTAGGGGTGATACGTAAACTCAGTATACTTCTTCTAGCAGGATGTATTAAAAGACAGAAGCTCCTGCTTCTCTCTTGTTTATAGATCTTATCTGGGTTTTTCATATCAACAGTCTTCATCACATGCCGGGTGCTGGAGTCCTCCCTTCTGAGATATCAAAGAGAGAGCTGCAGAATTTTCTGAGATGGCTTTCGGGTTTTAAAGATTCGCATTCTGAGATGTGTCTTCCAAAGGCTTCGCTCTCTTCTCAACTGTAAATTTTGCAGTCGCTGCTAAGGATGTCCTTCAGAAAATGGTTTTTGACGCTAAGTTGAGGTTTTCTTGTTCCTCCAATTCTGCCATTGCCAATTCCAGCTTTTGTAGCATCTCCTAGTGTTCAGGTTCTTGTTAAAGCGGTGAGTTGTGATGGTAAATCTGCTGTTAATGGTGTACAAGAAGGATCTAGGGAGTCGATCACAAAGGGCGGATACTTGATGCTTTTTTTCCTAATAAAAGGAATTTTAAAGGAGATCGTTTTGGTTTTATTCGCTTCGCATCATTAGAAGAAGGAGAACGATCTCAAAAATGAATGGATCTCGTATCGACGGTAGCAAAATTTGTGTTTCTTTCGCTAAATTCAAACATCGAAATTCCTATTAAAGAAGTCTTCGACAAATGTTCTTCAAAAGTCCGGGATGGAAGATTATTCGAGGAAGAATCATTATAAAGTTGAAGGTGTTATAGATGAAGAAAAACCTCAGGTGTTGAGCAATTGTCTAGTGCGGTGGCGTAAGGATTTTGTCAAAATTGGTCATCTCGCTAGACAAATGCAAGCGAAGGGCCTCATTGGCTTCACCTAAATGAGAGCAGCTAGAAATGCGATTTTAATGATTTTCGAAGATAATGCTTCATTGAGAAGTGTGAAAAACGACAAATCAATGATTCTCATAGAGTGGTTCTCCATAGTCGAAGTTTGGTTAGAGAGTTTGGTAATGGAGTGTCGTGGAGTATGGTTAGTTTGCGATGGTGTTCCTTTTCATGCATGAACTTGGGATACTTTCAAGAACATTGCGGATAAGTAGGGTCTTTTACTTGCTATCGACAAAAGTTGTCAATCTCCATCTTTTGATCGGACAAAAATTCAAGTCCTCACAAAGGCTAATGCGAAAATTGACGCGATGGCTGAATTGAAGGTTGGTGACAACTTCTTCAAGGTCATGGTGCATGAGATATAGCCTTCATTCAAACCAAATTCTTGGGCTCCTGAAAAAGACGAGTCTCTTTAGATTTTGTCTCTTCATTCGTGGTTTTGTTTTAGTCTATATGGCGTTGTTTTAGTCCTATTGCTGGTGGTGTAATTAGAAGTATGGTGATTTGATCGTGGCTTTGGATGAGGTTATTTGAGGTTTAGGTGTTTGTTGTAATGGGGTATATCACCATGAGAGGATATTTCGTGGTGTCTTTTGTATCGGGTATTATTATTAATAAATTATGAGGTGCTTTTTTCTTCCTTCCAATGTTTTTTAACATACTTTTAGTATGGGAACGAATATGAAGGGAGTTTTTAATGAGACCTCTAACTTCTATAAAAAAATTACGAGATCAAAAAGTGTTTGAGGTCACATTCGAAGATCCAAGTGGGGAATGGTAAGTCGATATCCTTCTGGAATTATGTTTGGGTTAATGATTCAACCTTAAAAAACCAATTCCCCAGGATTTTTGCTTTATCTAATAATAAATGAGGTAAAGTGGCTGATTTTGGTTGCTTTGAAAATAATGGATGGGTTTGGATCATTCAGTCACGAAGGAATTTATGCGATTGGGAATTAGATCAGTGGGTTGCTTTAATGTCTTTGCTCGATAACATAATTTTGTCCGATTCAGTGGATAACTTTCTTTCATGGTCGTGGAAGGGTGATGGTTTGTTCTCGGCTAAGTTCTGCATGCTGACTTTATCTTGTAAATCTGGAGGTACTTTCAATTGGAACAAGTGGGTGTGGTCAGGTTTGGCTCCTCCCAGAGTCGAAACCTTTCTTTTACAGATCTCCCACCAAAACCTGGCAGTTAGAGTAGAGTTGCAGAAAAGGGGGGTTCCCTTGGAGGATGTTCTTTGTCCATAATGTCATAAGCATGAAGAAACCATCCAGCACCTATTCATTTTATGCTCTGTTGCACGGGAGTTGTGGAATAAATTTATAAGGTTATGGGACATCTTGGTCTGATTTAAGGGCTTATTCTTCAATTTGGAGGTTTATACCGGGAGTTGTTTTGTGGTTAATATGGAAGGTTAGGAATTCGGTGGTGTTTGATAATTGGAAACTCGACAATTCTTCTCTCTTCTTTATTTCTAAATTTAGGATGGCTAAATGGTTTCTAGCTAAGTTCCAGTGTTGATTTACTATTTGGGGACCTCTCTATTGTAGACAAACTTCTTACTCATATCTTTAAGAGAAAGAAGATCCAGTGTTGGCTTTCTCCTCCAGCTATGTTTTTAAAATTTAATGTGAATGGGGCGGTAAGAAATGATGGGCTGCTGGATGGAATTGGAGGAATTTTGAAAGATTCTAATAGCTATACTTTAGCCACTTTCTCCAATGATGTTGGTCCATGTCCTCCTCCTTTATCTGAGTTTAAAGCAATTAAAAAATGAATTGATTTTTTTCTTTCATCTTCTTGGGCATTGAAGGGAAGACTGATCATAGAGAGTGACTGCAAGTCTGCAGTTGACTGGATTTTGTTGCCATTTTCTACTTCTTTTTTCAGTTCTTTGGTTGGGGAAATTGGGTCCTTAGTTTCTACTAAGGAGATTATAATTAGACTGATTCCTAGGAGCTGTAATTGGGAGGAAGATAAATTAGCTAAGGAGGGAATTGGCTGAATGTTTTTGGGTTTTGTTGTTTATGGTTGTTTAAAGTGTAATGGTGTAGTCTTATGTAATTATTGACTTGTGAATAAAATGAGGTACTATTTTACTCCTTCCGCTAGTGGCCTCTATTCAAGAGCCAACTAAGAGGGAAGTTTTTAATGAGGCATCCTACTTCTATAAAAAAAATCCATTAGAGAGTATTATTCGACAAGGGCAATGTTAACAGTGATTATAACGCCATGGTACAAGCATAAACATCATACTTTAAAAGCAGTTCTTTCATCTTACAAAGAAAAGGTTAGGAACTCACAAAAACAGTTAAATCAGCAGTGTTTTCCTTTGATTTGTCCGAATTATGACCATCCTGAAAAAAATATAACACTCAGCTTTCAAATTACATATCATTAGTCGATCAAATCCTCAACTACCTAGAAACTTTACTCCTCTAACGAACTTTACACAAACAATCAAGTTTTTACGAAATTGGGCGGAAACAGCATAGAACTATGAAAAATCTCAGAAAGAACAAGCAATTGCATGCCATTAATTAAGGTTTCAGTCTAAAAGTACATTAAGACTAATAACAAAGCCCATATATTAAGCGAGAGCATTTCAAGCACAAACAATTTTAATCCCCAAAAACCAAATATATAATAATTTATAATTTAAATATTAATATTATGATTTTAATAAATTATATATATAATTTAAATTAATTTAAGAATAAATTAATAAATCGAAGTTTGAAAACCATTCGATAGGGGAAACAAATCAAAATGTTATAAGCAATATACGGAAAATGCTTTATAAAAAAATTTAAATAATATTAGAATTGTCTAAATTAATTTAATTTAAGAATATATTAATATAATTTTATAGAATATGATTGGAAATGTCAGCTTCAAAATATGTGATTTTGTTGATTTATAGCCTATTTGAAAAGCAAAAAAATTAGTGCTTTCTTTTTAGTGGAAGTAACATTTTACCTGGCTTGTGCATGCAACAAAATTGCCACTTAGATTCAATGGAGTTATCTACAGCTCCAATTCAATGTGTGATGCAGTAACAAGAGTAGACTCATTGGACTGGTTAGAGTTGTTAGTTGTATGATTCCTAAATGTTTAATCTGGTACAACCAGCTTGCATGCTTTCATAGGCACACACCTGTACAAGAAAAGATAGATGAAATATGTGGAAAGACATGCATTTCTAACCTCATAGTCTTTCTATGTTTTCTCTAAATATTACACATATCAAGGATCATGATAGGATAGAAACAAAGCATCTCGTTTTTCATTTCTTTTGCCTAATATATAGAAACAAAAGCATATTCATTTCATATATGCAGAATAAAAAAATACATAAAAGGATAGAAACAAAAATCAGTACTTAAAGATCTAGCCCTTTGTATTACCATCCAAACTTTCCTTCCAAGAATGGTACTCCGGCATGGAATAAAACGGTATCTCTTCCTTCGTATTGTTGACCAGGTGAGAAGCCTGTGCGAAAAAAAAATAACATAAATAACAAGAAAGCTTGCTGCAAAATATGGAACATGTAAATATTAGCCAATAATACCTTCACAATAGGAGTTATAAACTTACTCATGAATGATTTTACTTTCAACAGTGATAGTCAAAAGGAGTGAATAAAATTGATCACCAAACCCTTGATATAATTTAAATTAGTATATTCTTAAAATATTTTATAGTTTATAGTTTAAATATTATTATAATATTTATAAATTATATAAATAATTTAATTTAAGAATAAATTAATAAAATTATACCTTGTACAGGTTTGTGTCATATGCTAGTTCTAGCTTTAGTTGGAGAGACAACCATTTCTCATTGTGAAGTGGTGAGTCCAGTCTCCTCACCTTTGGGTTTCTGCATTAAATCTTCAATGTCAGTCTCCTCAAGAAATAAACCCAACGATACAGAAAATGAGAATAAATTAATTTAATTTAAGAATAAATTATATAATAATATTTTAAATAATATTAGAATAATTTAATTTAAGAATATATTAATATAATTTAAATTAATATATTCTTATGATATTTTATAATTTATAATTTAATTATTATTATATTGATAAATTATATAAAAAAATTAATTTAATTTAAGAATAAATTAAATTAAATTAATTTATGATATTTTAATTTAATTTAATTTAAATAAATAATATCAAAGTAAATGTCGAGGAATTTCCTAATGTGAACGAAAAAGAAAAAAGCACAAGGACAATAGATTGTGACACTTACATTTTCTTCAACTATGAGAGATGAGCAACAGAGAACCAATTTGTCGCGCGATTCACAAATATTCATGTTCTTCTGCATACTGACTTCTTCGCTTGTAGGATATTCCTTGTTGTGAACTGGCAAATGACTACAAATGAAGCAAGAACTTAATGAAATTTCCATGAGCGTGAAAAGGTGAAGTTTTCTTAAAACACTTGTTTTTCTACTTCCTTGAGATTCTGACTTTTCATTAGGCAGGACGCAACATTACAAAGTTAACAAGGTACGTAGTCTTTAACTTCCCAAAAAAATCATATGAAGTCCAGAAAACAGCCCTATTGTAATCCAAAATAAATATACACTCGTTAACAAGGAACGTAGTCTTTAACTTCCTAAAAAATCATATGAAGTTCAAAAAACTGTCCAATCTGTGTATCACTTACAGTATATGCCACCGGTATTGTGAGACTAATTTTGCAAGGGGAACATGGAAACTCTTAAGACAACTCTTTTCGAAACAGCCCATCGTTGCACCTTTGAGTTCACAACAGGAGCAATTTATTTTTCACAACAGGAGCACCTTATCATTTTCAAAATAAACATTAGGAGCCCTAAAAAAATAACATTATTATATATTAAAATTATGAAAACTGTATCGAAAGAGCATATTAGGTTATGAACACTTTTACCTTAGAGCCACCATTGTAATCTTGAGGAACAAGTCTGCCTTCATAGTAATTAACCATCTCTCCTGTAGCCTGCAATTTTGTTTAGCAAATAAACTTCATCAATTTGATTGAAAAGATGGGCAGTTTTAGTCGTATCATAGACTTGACAGGAAATACTAAACCTCAATCTTCTATTGAAAGACAAAAAACATTGTGTTTTATTTGTAACGTTCTCACATTTACACAAGGTCGCTTCATTTGCTAAAGGCAACATCTTTACTGTTGAACCATGACCATCTAAAATTCCAACAGCGAGACTCCCATTAACCTTTTCATTTAGTCTTTCTAAAGACATTACTATTTCCTTGCTGCTGTTGATCTTCAGCCAACCCACTTTTTGCGTCACCGCTAAAAGAAACTTTCATCTTTTTCTTACAACTTGAGGTTTTTTCACTTTTCAAACTTGTAGTCAACATTACTTCCCAAGCACGTTTAATTGATCCTTTTCTAACCCTTTTGGCACCAATTTCATGAGCTAAGGGAGTGGAGTGGGAAATGAGGGCTTCTGTTGAATCGTATTTTCATTTGTCGGACTTCATCAGATAAAAATACCTATTACTGTCAGTGCAAAGATAGATAAAAGAGCTTATTAACTATTAGCATCATATCAAAAGACAAATAATGAAGACTTAATTATATAACTCAAACCTGCCACTTGGGATTACTAAAGCATACGAAATGGTCTTTTCAAGCTTTCAGCAGTTATTTTTCTTCCATTATTTGTTACAAGGCATTTTTCAGTGTTTAAACCGTCTGGTAGCTTTGCTTCCTCAAATTTCACACAAAATCATAAAGCCATCTCTAAATATTACAAGAGTTCAATAGTGAATTGAGCAACACATGAGAGCATATTCGCTGCTGAGATAACACATTAAAGTGTGAATAAAAGGTAAAGAAATGAAGTATAGAAACACAAGTGTTCTTAGAGATCAAAAAACCTCACTATAAGAGTCAAGGGACTTTGAAAAACGGAATCTCCCCGGAATTTAAATTCTAAACGAAAACTAACATAATGAGAAAGTAAGAGTACCTTTTACTTTCAGCTGTTGGCTGAGGAAGTATGGACATAACAGTCCTATCAGCTAAAACTTTAGTTGGACATCCTAAACAAGATGGTTAATCAAGTTTGATATATCAGTAATGTAAGACATGGTACCACAAAGTAAACTTCAAGAATTCTCAGAATGGCGGCAACAGAAATAGCACATGAAAAGTATATCCTGCAATCAGGGATAGTATTGAGGTCACAGAGCATTCTGTTTTTCAAATAAAAAGTCAACTCTGAAGTTTGGCTTTATAGGTTTCTAAGGAGTCGTTAGGAAACCAAATGAATCATGTAGCATCCTTTATTCATTTAAGCGGATTTTGTAGTCAAGGAAAGCATAATGATGTTACTGTCATCAAGCCTAGACTAGAGAGTAAACAAGAACATCCCAAAGGTGTAAGGATAATGCTTAACACACTTCAAATCTTAAGCTGATATGTATGTACTACTTACCATGAGACGCTGAGAAAGGTATAGTGTATTTCATTTGTATAACATGACGTACTTCTTGTCAATCTTAAAACCCTTGATATTGCCATCAGAATCTCCAGCATACCTGCAAATTCAGAAATTAAATCGATATGAAAAGTTCAATTGCCGCATGTGCTCTCTTGAAAGTTGAAATAACCTACAGTAGAGCAAAGAACCGAAGCTAAAATTGCATTTAGGGACCAATTTGCATAACTACAAAAGAATTAATTTATTCTTTAAAGACATGTACATGAGACAAGTAGACATATTTATTGGTAAAGTATAGAGCACGAAGACATATTTGTTTGTAAAAGTAGACATATATATAGAAACTACTTTTACAAGCAAATAATATAAAAATACAATGTCCTAAATTTTATTTTTCATATTTTTTCTTAGAAAGCAAACACAGAAAGAGAAACCAAACCATACATACATGAAAGGGAATTGGTCACATGCAGAGCCGACAAACCTTTGCAAATGAAATAACGGGTTCAAAAAACACTAACATGTAATCAGAAAAGAAAACCCAAATGTCAACATTTTATTAGATTTAGGTAAAAAGCGAAACCCCTAATATATAATCAGAATATAAAACAAACTTTTAAAAAACCCAAAAAAAATCAAGAAACACAACCGCATCTGCATTCATCACAATGTATAATTTAACAAAAGTATAAATTAAAAGAAAAACTTAACAGATCTAAGAATTGGGTAAGGAAACTAACCTGATAATCCAAAGAATTGATTAATAGAGTCAAGGGGTACATTTCTTAAGAATATTAATATAATTTAAATTTATAATTTAAATATTAATATTATTACATGGGGTTGGACCAATTACACTGTGTAAAACCCTTTTAGTTTTACAATCATTTTACGATCATTGGATGAGAGAAATTAAAGACTGAGATTAACCGTGGAAAATGAACAATATTCAATAAAAAACGAGTTGATCTCAACATTTGATTTCTCTCAATTCAATGGCAATAAAAAGGTGTAAAACTAAAAGTGTTTTACACAGTACAAGTAGATCCAACTCCTTATTATATTTATAAATTATAGAAATAAATTAAATTAATTTAAGAATAAATTATATAAAAATATATAATTATTTTTTTATAGAAACTAAGAATTGATTAATAGAGTCAAGGGGTACATTTCTTAAAAATATATTAATATAATTTAAATTTATAATTTTAATATTAATATTATTACATGGGGCAGGACCAATTACACTGTGTAAAACTCTTCTACTTTTACAATCATTTTAGGACCATTGATGAGATATATTAAAGACTGAGATTAACAGTGGAAAATGAACAGATATTCACTAAAAAACAAGTTGATCTCGACCTTTGATTTCTCCCAATCCAATGGAAATAAAAAGTGTAAAACTAAATGAGTTTTACACAGGTAAGTAGAACCTACTCCATATTATATTTATTAATTATATAAATAATTAAATTGATTTAAGAATAAATTATATAAAATATTTAATTATTGAACATGTAAATTCTAGCCAGTAATACCTTCACAATAGGAGTTATAAAATTACCCATGAATGATTTTACTTTCAACAATGATTGTCAAAAGGAGTAAATAAAATTGATCACCAAACCCTTAATATAATTTAAATTAGTATATTATTATAATATTTTATAGTTTAAATATTATTATTATATTTATAAATTATAAATAATTTAATTTAAGAATAAATTAATAAAATTATACCTTGTACAGGTCTGTGTCATATGCTAGTTCTAGCTTTAGTTGGAGAGACAACCATTTCTCATTGTGAAGTGGTGAGTCTAGTCGTTCTTTCTCTACCTTAAGCATTGCTAGAGTGTGCTCGCCAGCCTCCTCACCTTTGGATTTCTGCATTAAATTTTCAATGTCAGATATATGAACACATTAAACTTAAGTGAAAGAAAAAAAACCCGACAATACAGAAAATGAGAATCCGAACACATTAAATCTTCAATGTCAGATTTATTATTTTATGCAGCCCCGACCCATGTCAAGGCAGGAGGTCAGGGGTGCAAGAAAGAAGTCAATCAATAAATAAAAAAAGGGTATTGCTGCTTACTTGAGAACAAGAATTCCATGCCTTAAAGATCTCTCTAGTTATAACCATTGGCTCAAGTAAGAAAGGAATCCCAACTACCGTTGAGCAAAATACCATCTCCATCTATAAACAAATCATCCATATTCATAAAATTGTCACTACTTCATTTGCTTATTTATTCCACGTTTCAAACAAAAGAAAAATAATTTCACATGTCTTCCAATGAACCCTTGGTTAGTCCATGAGAACCCATGAGAACACCAGATAATTTCACATGTCTTCCATGGATACACCATATGTTTCACAGTAAACCCTTGAAGCCGTATCAATATCAGTTGTATAAAAGTAAAATATCATCCATATTTGAAACGTTTCAAAGTCAAGAAAAAACCAAAATTAAAAGGAATAAAATAGGAGAAATTATGAAGAATAAACCTGAATTGAAAGCCTATTATAAACATATTCCTGCAATAAAAAAATAACACAGATCGTCGGAGTAAGAAAAGAATTTAAATAAAAAAGACAGAGTTAATTGAGGAAAGCAATTTGAATCACTAGACCAAAGGCATCAACAAGTGAAAGCAATGAAAATGGAAATACATAGAAACTATTTTTACAAACAACTAATACAAAAATACAATGTCCTAAATTTTATATTTCGTATTTTTTCTTAGTAAGCAAACACAAGGAAACGCAGCAAAAGAGATACCAAACCAGCATACATGAAAGGGAATTGGTCACATGCAGAACTGAGAAACCTTTTCAAATGAAATAACAAGTTCAAAACAACACTAACATGAAAGGGGAAAAGAGGTAACAAACAAAATCCCTAATCTATAATCAAAATACAAATCAAACTTTTAAAAAGCCCAGAAAAAAAAATTCATCACAAAATACAATCTAACAAATGTATAAATTAAAAGACAAACGTAACAGATCCAAGAATTGGGTAAAAGAAACTAACCTGAGAATCCAAAGAATTGATTGATAGAATCAAGGGGAAAGTTTCTTAAGTGGGTGATAGGTAGTGCTCAGGTTTTATTTTTATAGATGGGATTTCAATAATATTATATAATTTATAATAATTTAAATTAAGAATATATTAATATAATTTAAAATTATAATTTAAATATTAGTATTATTATATAGGGCAAGATCTAATTACATTGTGTAAAACTCTTAGTTTTACACCATTTTAGGACCATTGAATGAAAGAAATTAAAGACTAAGATTAACCGTGGAAAATGAACAGATGTTCACTAAAAAAACGAATTAATCTCAACCTTTGATTTCTCTCAATCCAATGACACTGAAAAGATGTAAAACTAAAAGAGTTTTACACAATGTAATTGGATCCTAATACTTATTATATTTATAAATTATATAATTAATTAATTTAATTTAAGAATAGTACTGAGGTCACAGAGCATCTGTTTTTCAAATAAAGTCAACTCTGAAGTTTGGCTTAGTAGGTTTCTAAGGAGCCATTAGGAAACTCCAAATGGATCATGTAGCATACTTTATTCATTTAAGCGGATTTTGTAGTCAAGGAATGCATAATGATGTCACTGTCATCAAGCCTAGACTAGAGAGTAAACAAGAACGTCCCAAAAGTGTAAGGCTTGAGGCTTCTCAAGTTTATTTGTTAAAAGATTATGATGCACGATAATGCTTAACACACTTCAAATCTTAAGCTGATATGTATGTACTACTTACCATGAGAAGCTGAGAAAGGTATAGTGTATTTCATTTGTATAACATGACGTACTTCTTGTTCAATCTTAAAACCCTTGATGTTGCCATCAGAATCTCCAAATACCTACAAATCCAGAAATTAAATTCAAAAATCCAATCTTTATTTATATAAGGATAAATTTTGTGGAATTAAAGAGATTAAAAGACAAAGAGTGAATATTACCTTTGCTACATCTTTCAACACCAAAAGGCTGCATCTCTACATGGGATCATCATTAAGACACTACAATTCAAATCCACAGCATTCCAATAGTAATAGCATTTAAATAATAATAGGATAAAAAACAGAGCATCTCCTCCTATATGATTTTATGAAGACGAAGTAAAATGTTTCAGACCATATACTAGATGATGACCATCACAGAGTTCAGTTTCCTTTAAAAGGAAGGAAGATTCATATATTATTTATACAAATTGTTTTGGATACTTGAGTAGAAAAGTTTACGAAATGCACTTAGCTAGCATTGCCAAAAGCAAAAAAACTTACATTAGAAAACCCTTCATCATCAGAATCCTTCACATCACTGAAAGAGGGAAGTTCAGGCGGTGCTGTGTACACACATTGGTTGTCGTCCGTGAGCTGACTTACCATGAGAAGCTGAGAAAGGTATATTGTATTTTTTTTTATAAAAGTAGGAGGTCTTGTTAAAAACCGTATAGTGTATTTCATTTGTATAACATGACCTACTTCTTCTTCAATCTTAAAAACCTTGATGATGCCATCAGAATCTCCAACATACCTGCAAATTCAGAAATTAAATAGATATGGACAGTTCAATTGCTGCATGTGCTCTCTTGAAAGTTGAAATAACCTACAGTATAGCTAACAACCGAAGCTAGACTTACATGTAGGGGTCAGTTTGCATAACTGCAAAAGAAGTAATTTCTTCTTTAAAGACATGTACATGAGACAAGAGCCTCTTTTCCGAGTCCCAAACCTACATTACAATTTCCATAGAAAAATTAATTCCCAAAGGAAAAGAGAGAAAAGAAGACATATTTATAGGTAAAGTATAGAGCAAGAAAACATAGGCAATACCGATTCTGATGACAGTAAAAGTAGACTACTCTCATATCTAATCTGATAGAATCAGCAATTAACCAAGCAAGTAACTTGCCTCAATATGGTTCTTGAAATTTACATTTATATATTAAGGATGCCTTGATTCTGGACAAACTGAAGAAAAATTAAGGTTTATATAAGTACCTTGGAATTACTTGAAAAAAAAAGCTTTACAAGACAAAAAGAAATACTGATATAGCATTATAATGATAGTATCAAGAAATCCAGATTGAGAAATATAGCATCATGAACATGTTAAACTGTCACGTTTCTTCCTCATGTGATAATTAATCAGATATGATATGACCTTCCTTTAGTTGCATCAAGTCCATATTAATCTGTTCAACAGAGGGTAACAAAAGCATACCTTAAACAGTAAGTGCATGGACAGCAAGATAAAAGATGATCCCTTTTCTAATTGAATTTGATTATTTACTGTCAAAATGAACTGTGTATATCCACTCCAGCAGGGTAAACTTTCTGGGTCGGCAACATCCAAATACATACACAAATGATCCAACGTTGTTACCTGTATGAAATTCAAAACCAAGAGTATGAAGACTAAACTACTATCGCCAAAACAGAAAATTAAGGCTGAAAAGGGTAAGTAGTATCAACAAGGGAATAAGCAATGTATCATTTAAAACCATCAACGATCAAATCATCGGAGAAAATCAAGGGATTGAGATTCTATTAACAAATCGAGACGTAAAATCACAACAAAATCAAACACTTCTCCTCATCTTCTTGCCGCTGAAAAATAAGAGTAATCAAGAAAATTTCAAAAATAACTAAATCATAAGCAGTAGAGAAATACGAATGGAACAAAATACAAACAAAATAACCGGAATTGGGTAACAAACAAAACCCTAATCTATAATCAGAATACAAATCAAACTTTTAAAAAGACCAGAAAAAATTCATCACAAATACAATCAAACAAAAGTATAAATTAAAATAAAAACGTAACAGATCCAAGAATTGGGTAAAAGAAACTAACCTGAGAATCCAAAGAATTGATTTATAGAATCAAGGGGCAAGTTTCTTAAATCATAAGCAGTAGAATCCGTAAAGAAATACGAAAGACCAACTGAAGAGATAGCAACGAGATGCTTGTGTTCGGGATTGTAATCGGAAAGATTGAGATGGAAGGAAGCGAGGATATGATAGCGGGTGAGAGGAATGTTAGGGCTTGAAAACGGAAGTAATTATGCCTGAGATGAGAGGGAATAAATAGTCAGATTTTCATTTAATTACCTAAGCGGGAGCCAACAAAAAACGTTTAAAATTTGAAATTTAAATATATTTGATTTATTTATTTATTTTTAATTATCTCTTTTATTTATAAATAAAATCTGATATTTTTAAAATCTAATTTTTTTAAAATCAACTATCTATGAAAATTCAATTTGATTATTTTCATTTTGATTTTAGAGTTATTTTCAAAATTTTCTTTTAATAAAAAAATTTTAATATAAGATTTTAAATATTATGTAATAAAGATTACTTTTTGTCAAAAATATTTTAAAATTATTATTCTCAGTTAAATAAAAAATAATCAATAAATTTATTTATTTTCTGAAAAAAATAAATCAAAATAAATAATTTTAAGTCCAATAAAAAATAACCAATATATAGAGATATTTTATGGAAATAAATTTTAGAAATTATTATTTAAAATGAAAATGAAAAAAAATTAAAGCTAATCAATAAAATTATTATAAATTAATTAAAATTTTAAAAAAATAAATACACGTTAAATTTAGAGAAAATATATAATTTAGTAAAAAACAAGTAAAATAAATTCATTGAAACTGACGAAGGTATTATTGAAATACTAACAAAAAAAACCGAAGAGATAGCAACGAGATGCTTGTCGTTCGGGAGTGTAATCGAAGAGATTGAGATGGAACGAAGCGAGGATATGATAGCAGGTGAGAGGAATGTTCGGGCTTGAAAACGAAAGTAATTTTGCCTGAGATGGGAGGGAATAAATAGTCAAATTTTTATTTAATTACCTGAGATGAGCCAACAAAATAACCGTTGTAAAGGGAGTGAACGCCTAAAATTTGAAATTCAAATATACTTTTTTTGAATTAAAAGAAAACCATTACAATGAAACACTAAGGGCGAATAAAAGTAGGACCATGAAGGTCACGAGCAAGATGAGGTATTATCTCCTGGGGAGGTTCTATATATATGCATGGTTGATCATTTGAAACACCGATAGATTTTGCAAGGAAGTCTGCTGCAGCGTTGGCTTCACTACGTATGAGAATGAAATCAATCTTCCATTGCTTTGAAATAAGGCTCGCGATAGATCTGACAAGAGACACTGGGCTGGATGCGGCTGTTAGAGAAGTCACAAGTGTTAGAGCTTCCGCACAGTCCATTTGGCATTGAAGGCGCTCTAGTCCTTGAGACCACGCTAATTGAAGTCCTTCAAAAATCCCCCAGTGTTCGGCTTGTAATGGGGAGGAAATACCAACCGCTTTATTAAATCCGACGATTCAATCTCCATCCTTGTTCCGGATGAGCCACTGTCGATCCTAGAGAGGAAGTATGATGAACTGTGCCATCCGTTTTGAGCGTAAACCAGTCAACAGGCGCTGATCGCCATTGAATAAGTTTCGGGCGAGGAAAAGCAGTACCAGTTGAGGAATCAGACGTCGTAGTGATGAAATAATTAGCCCAGTTTTTGTTGTGGTTGAGTAATTGATCATTAGAGAGGGTCAGATTAGAGAATATGGATGAATTTCTTCGCTTCCAGATCTGCCACGCTAGGGAAGCAAATAAAGTTTTCCAAGGGATTTTTGAACCTGCAAAAATTCGATTGGAATCAAGATTCATTGTAAGCCATTCATTAGTTTCTAGAGTGAAAATCCTGAAGTTGTTGTTGGTGAATGATCAATTGCCAAAGAGAAGTAGTTTGTTTGCAATCTCGCAACACATGCAACAAAGTTTCATTAGTTGATCCACATATTTAACATAAAGGATCATCGGTAAGGTTTCGCGCACATCGATTGACGTTCGTTAGTAATCGATCTCTATAAGAAATCCAAAGGAAGTGTTTGATATGCTCTGGGATAGGAAGACGCTAGAGCTTAGTCCATTTAACGTCTTTAGGACTCCAAAGTTCTTTAGTAATAAGATTATAAGCGGATTTCACAAAGAATTCGCCATTCTTGCCATGAAACCAGGAACAACGATCAGTGCCAGCATTGGGATCAGGGGCTGGACATTCAAAATATGTGGAATGTGGAAGGCTGGAAAGTCTGTCGAATGAAGTTCCAATTCCAGCTACGGTTCGATTGAGCAACGTCACAAACCATCAAGTTATCTTCAATAGTGACACTCTCTTGCTTCCAGTTAGAGAGGCGCCTAAGTTTCGACAGCCAATTATCGTGCCAAAATCTTGTAGAAGCACCATCACCTACGGACCAAGATATGAAGCTATGAAAATTATCCCATACCTTAGATAGAGACCTCCATAAATGAGAGCAATTCAGCTACATGATGGAAGGTGGGCACATACATGTCACATTATATTTTTGTCGAAGTAGTTTTATGAAGTATGTCTATGTGTTCGAAGCAACTGCAAAACAAAGGTTCATTAGGAAAGTCGAATTATGTAGTTGTAACCTCCTGATGCGAGACCTCCATTGTGTCTAGGTTGAGATATGGCGTCCCAACTAACAATTGGAATGCCACGAGATTGGTCGTTAGAAGTCCATATGAAGTGTCGAACGATTTTTTTTCAATGTCGTGACAAACTTTGGAAGGGAACCGACAAGTTTGCATGAAATAGGTAGCAATGGTCATAAGAACGGAGTTAGCAAGAGTAACCCGACCAGCAAAAGAGAGGGATCGAGCCGACCACCCTTGGAGCTTCGATTTAATTTTATCAATTATGAAGGCATAGAATTCGCAAGTAGCACGCTTATGCATCACGTATTCCGAGATAAACATCCAAGTTAGAGACTTGTTTGATGCCAAATGATAACATACTAAATTTGCTGATTCAACACTGGTATTTGGCGAGAAGTAAATATGCGATTTGAGTTTGTTTACTTTGTGACCAGAATAGTGGCCAAATTCCGCCATAATATTGTCAATCAATATGCTTGATCAGTAGTTACCTTAGCATATAAGATTAGGTCATCCGCAAAGAATAGATGACTGATAGGAAGGCCACCCCGTACAAGCTTGAACGGTTTCCAATCACCTCTTTTAGAAGCAAGCTGAATATGGTGACCTAGTCTTTTCATAGTAAGAACGAAAAGATAATGCGAGATTAGACCCCCTTTCTGAACTCCTCGTTGCGGTTGAAATTCAGAACTAAGGCCTATATTGAATTGGATCTGCATCGTAGAGGATGATCTACAATGCAGTATGAATCGGTTGATTGTAGGGGAAAGCATGCTTCATACAGAGTGTCAGCTATAAATTCCCAACGTAAACGATCAAACATTTTCTCCAAGTCCACCTTAATAGCCATCCATCCATCTTTATCTTTCTTGTGTTTCATGGAGTGAATGACCTATTGGTTAATGATGATATTCTCTGAGATGCTACGACCTTGAATGAAACTTGTTTGGTTGGGAGCAGCAAGTCTAGGCATAATGTGCTGAAGGCGCCTGACAATGATCTTTGTGATCAACTTCTATAAAACAGTACAAAGGTGATGGGTCGAAAGTCTTTGAAACTGGAAGGACTTGGTACTTTAGGAATAAGAGCAAGTATTGTTTTTTCAAGGAATGCTCAATGTTGCTTCCAGAGAAAATATCTTGGATCGTAGAGCAAATCGAAGCGCCAACAATGTCCCAATGTTTTTTATAGAAATGTACATGTAACACATTTACTTTCGGGGATTTGAGAGGAGCCATAGCAAATAAGGCTTCCTTTATTTCCATGGGATTTGGAATAGAGTCTAGATTTTGCATATCTTCAGGAAGAATGATTGGAAATAGACTAGAAATGGGAAAAGTGCATTCACCTCATCATCAAGGGAAAATAGTTTCTGGTAGTAAGCATTGGCTTCTTGTCGAAGAACATTTGTGTCTGAACACCAATTACCAGTGGAAATTTGGAGAGAGTAATTCCGGTTAATCCTTCTGTTAAGAATGGCTTTTTTATGGAAGTAAGTTGTATTCCTATCACCAAAGTTAATCCAGTCCGATCGGGATTTTTGTTTCCATAGGATTTTTTCTTGGTCGAGGATTAATTCCAGCTCAGTTTGAAGTTTAGTCTCGAGCCTAGACAGGTAGGAGCTTCGATTTTTATCGAGATAGCATTGGATGCCCTTGAGCCGAGCCATAAAATTGCACTTGCGATAGAAGAGCTGACAAAAAATAGAGCGATTCTAATTATTTGCAGCGACACTAAACTTGGAGATAGCATCCGTTATTGAGGGAGAAGAGTCTCAATTATCAATCACAAACTTATGAAAGTCTTTGTGAAGTGTCCAACCAGCAAAGTAACGGAATAGACGCTATTGCGATTTATTAGGATTCTTACCAATAGCTAGCAAGAAAGGTATGTGATCAGACTTCATCCAAAGGAGATGATAAACCAGAGTATCAGGATAGGATACAAGCCATTTATCATTGCATAAGCAGCGATCAAGACGAACTGCACATGTTCTTCTATACCAGGTGAAGTCTAGTTCTTGGTATCCCATATCATGTAGTCCTGACTCGAAAACTGCTTTGCTGAAATCTTGATCAGAGAAAGGGATGGTGGCATATCCTTTACGGTCATTTGGGGACAAAGCAGCGTTGAAATCGCCTAAGACAACCCAAGGCTCATTAATATGACCAGAGAGTAGTTGAAGATACGACCAGAGCACCTTTCTTTTAGCAAGATTCGGACTTGCATAAACGAAAGTAACAAGAGCAGAATGATTGTTGAACTTACTTTGGATCCGGTAGTGAACGAATTGGAAATGGCTAAAGAGAACATCATCCTGAATATGATCGTACCAGCAGACCCAAATGCCTCCAGAAAATCCATCAGCTTCAACTCTGAAAGAGTTAGGAAAATTGAGCTTAGCAATAAATTTATCAGCAGTATGATTACTTATTCGGGTTTCAACATAGCTCAAAACGTCTGGAGAATGGTTGTGTATGTACTGACGTGCAACGTGAATAAAATTCCGATTACCACAGCCTTGGGCATCCCATATA